TGTTCAGCATGGGGGTGAGTAGAAAATGAAGGCTAATCATGTTTTGGGTGTACTATTCCTTTAATTGTGGCCTGGTCCACTCAAGTGCAAGTGTGTTGCTAATCGGTTATAGAAGCACTGAGTTCTTGGAAGCTCAGGAAGATGGTTGTCAGAGTAAAGAGTACCAAATAAAAATCCTCAGAGGGATCTGGAACCGGTGGATGATGCTGTTTTTTTTTCGTTCACCTTGCTGATCCTTGACCGCACTGCCTCATAAGGGTTACCAATAAAAAAAGCAGCAAGAGAGCAGATTAAGAGAAGGTGCAATGAAGACAGTGATATCAAGGAAACTGAGGCACTGCAGAGCTGTAGGAGGTAAGGGGCGGCGACCAATGAAAAGGGTTATCCTACTTGTAAACAGTAGTGGCTGACCTTTGGACTTCTCTGCATTTCCATTCTCATCTTGTCTGGTCAAAATGACATACAGACATTTCTTTAAACCTGATTAAGCTCCACATAAAAAAAAAAAAAAAAACATCCATCAGCATCTGAGCTGAAGATTTTTCTCTTAAAAAACACTTTCAATTTATAATCAATTGACTTTCTCTTTAAAAAGGCTGTTTTATATATATAGATATATGTGTGTGTGTTATATATGTATATATATATGTATATATACATATATACACACGCATAAAGTGAGCTGTAGTTAGCTCAAATGATTAAGATAGTCCTTCAGTCAAACAGCATCATTGTTAGCTCCTTCAACACTGCATTGTCTAATATGAACTGTGGTTAGACTGATATAGCCTCTGGCATTTACTGGTATTACTGCTGCTGACTGGGAACATTATAAATGGACTCATTATATGCTTAATTAGACTTTAGAGCTTTATGTGGGTGTATTGTTCACAGGCTGTTTATGAACCAGATAAGATGAAAACAACCCTTAGTAAAATACCCACGAATCCACCATTAGTCATCGATGACCAAGAGCGAGAGAAAAGAAAGGAAAGAGAGATTTTTTGTAGGTTTGTTTAGGTGTATCAGGATCAGGCCGTAAGCCTGGTTCAGAAACAACATATCAGGGTGGAAATCAGCCGCTGCTGCGGCAGCATTCCACACATGCAGACACAACTTCCCTTCATGGTCCACACTTGCTCCGAAGAGTTATCTTCCTCTACCTGAGAGGGTTTTGGATTCCCTGCATTCTTCCTCTACACTCTGGTACGACCCACTCCGCTTTAAAACCCAGCCAAGGTTTGATCTTTGGAGGGGAAAATGACTGCCTCCCGCAGTGGCGCTGGCACCGTGAGACTGCTGCAGAACAAATATGCTGAAACGTCCTTCCTGGAGAGGAACAGCCGTCTCCCAGGGGAGAGCTGCACTCTGGTATTTGCTTCATCACGTTTAAACCCCCCCGCCCCCCAATCCTTTGCTGTTTTTGCTCTCCCACTACAATTCCTGTTCTTATCTGCTTTATCTCACAGACCGCGCAGCAAAGATAAACGCAGACTCCTGTAGGAAACCAGACACTATCAATTGCCCAGGCTAACGTTCTAGCTGCCATTGAGTCTTTTAGGACAGAAAGCAGAAGCCAGAGAGATGGATGGAAACGCCTGAAACAGGCCATGGATTAATAGCCCCATTTAGGCTACCCTCTGAAAACCGATCCGTGCTGAGCTCTGTTCCTTATGACCGTTTACACACCACGCTAGCACAGATTGTGACGTTCTACGGTACTACTGCTTTCTAGAAGAAAACAAGCAAACCAACAAGGCGGCACCTGGAACAATCAGAAAGTTCGTGGAGAGTCAGGCACAGAAGAGAGCCTTTTGGGAAGTGGATATAACAAACACTTGTGTAATCAGGGCTTACAGATGCAGGAAACAATGACCGAAGTTGAGGTTAATCACACTGCAAAACAGAATCATCAGTGGAAATCGTCGGGCATAGTAGGGAAGCTTGTTTTTCTATGAATCTCTGAATTTTCATGACTACAGAATCTGACTGTAAGGACATGACACGGTCTACTCATGCGTCTTCGGTATCAGAGAACTGCAGCACAACTAAACACAACTAAACCGAGATCTATTGATGACCTAGTGCCACTTTAGCGTGGTTCAGGTGTGTCGAGCGCGACCCGGTTCAGTTCTGGCTGCCATTTACACTCAAAGATTTTCTCCGTTACCGTGCTCAGACCAATCTCGGACTGGTTTCAAAAGGATAGTGTAAATGGGGGTTATGAAGCCACCTCTGCCGCCTTCATTTTGCTTGTGTCGGAGGGTTAGAGCATTTTACCTTCTTGAAGAGGCGTCCTGAGTCCTCGCTGATCTGCGCAAACCTGGGAATGATGTTGTTGAGGTAGAGGTCAGACAAAGTGGCGTGGTCACGACTCTCCCTTTTCACCTGCAGCAGCAGTAGGTTCCAGCAGTTAACCGGAGACAAGATGGTCTGCTCCTTCCTGCAAACACAGACGGGGAGAGTTTAAAAGCTTTTTAAAACCAGTGCGTATTTTTTTGCAAAAGCTTTCAAACCCTCTTTGACTTATTGTTTATATTTAGTCAAGCTACAGCATACATTAATAGGTCTAATTATTGTAAGTTATTGTGTACATTTTGCACAATAAAAAACAAAAAAAACAACTTAATTAACAATTAGTCAACATAATCGCCATGGTAGCAAAACACCACAAAAAATCAGCTAAGGACAGTTTTAAAGCAGGCTTAGTTTAAAAAGATCCTATAAGCTGTGAACGTCTCACTGCACACTAGTCCTTCATCTGACAGCAGAGTCATTTCTGTCCACCCCAAATGACAGGGCAGGCAGTGAGAGCAATAATCAAAGAAGCAGCCATGAAAACCCACAGTAATTCCGGAGGAGCTGTGAAGAAGCGAAGCTTGGGTGAGAATCTGTTGACAGGATAAGTTCTGGTCTTTATGCAATACTGTCAATAAAAGCCTCTGCACTCCAAAATGCTATGTGGGGGTGGAAAAATAGCCTGGAGAACAGTCTGTACCATGAAACACGGCAGTGGCGGCACCATGCTGTGGTTCTTCAGCAGGGACAGGGAAGCTGCATGGAGCTTAACTCATGAAAGCAAATCTGTTAAAGTTCACACATGACTGAAGCCTGTGGGGCAGAGGTTCTTCTTCCAACGTCACATAAGGTCAGAGCTCCAATGGAGACTGCTTGGATCAAAGCACGTTCATGAATGATGGCCCAGTAGCATTGAGGACGGGACTCTCGCTGATAGGCTAACAAAATGAAATCTGCAGCAATTTTTTCACAGACCTTCCTTGATTTGAAAGTCTGACGCTTCAACACATTTGCTAAATGTAGCTGTTTATCCTGGTTAGTTTTAAACACACACCTAAAACATTAAATCTTAACATCAGAAACACATATGAGCAGAAAGCCATCATCATTTCTTTTAAAACACACACACAAGTCTTCTAAAGAAACTGAAACCTTGCCCAGAAACACAAGCCACAGCCATAAAAAAGGCCATCAGGGAGAGGAGGCCTTTCCTGCAAAGGCACAGTTGCCATTTATAAGAAACGGAAAACTTAAAACTACAGTACCAACTTTTTTTGAAGACTCCATTGGAAAGCCATTAAAAAAAAGTTAGCGTAGTAAAAAAACTGCCCGCTTATGCAACAGTACAGCTGCTTTGTGTAAGTACAGTACGAGTAATGGGTGATCCATGGATGATCTAGTGGGTAAAATGGATTATGAGTGAGTGTAAGTGGATGAAAGAAGGCCTTTGTGTCGTTAAGAGCAGCTTAGCTGGATAGAGAGCAAAAGAGCTGCAAGGCATTTACATGAGGGGGGGTCCAGGGAAAGTAGAGCAGTGACTGAAGCATACACAATGTCACACGGACAGAGAAAGTCCTTGATTGAAGGGTATTGAGTTTGGGGTTTTTGTTCGTAGGGAGGTGTGTCTGGGGGGGACGGGACGAGGTGGTACATGATGTCACAGGTCAAATGGCTGTGATAACAACAACCGTGGCATGACAAAAGGAAGAAAAAAATCCCCAATACTCTAATTCAAACCAAGAATACTCACCACCACCCCCCCACAATGCGTTTGAGGCTGAAAAGTCATGTGGACCAGAGTGAGTGTTCACTTCCCTCGGTTGGCAGTTTTTTTTTTCTGTTCTCCACTGGTTGCACAACACCAAGACGGGGGTTGAAGTTCCTCTGTTGCTTCAACAAGCTGTTGGCTGCACCACCGTGTGACATTTCGCCCCGTCGTTGATGCGGCAATGCCACTCGTCTGAATCACTACCCTTTTTCCAGACAACACAAGCAAATAGTGAGAGAGGCGTGAATGCCCGATGGTCGCAATAAACATGTTTCTATCTATCCACCCTCTGCCAGTATGGGTGAAAGGGTACACACACCACAAACAAGTCACCTGTACATCGCAGGGCAATACAGAGAAACAATCATGCAGACACTCCTAAGGGCAATTTAGAGACACCAGTCAACCTACAGTTATGTTTTTGGACTTTAGGATAAGGCTGGAGAACCAAGAGAGAACAAACACATGCAGCACCCCCTTGCTGAAAGGCCACAGACAAACAAATGAACAAAACTAACTGTGCCAGCCTGTTTTACTATATTATTAATTAAACATAAAAACCAAAACTATAAACCTTTAATAAACCATTAACTAAAACTAAAAGTATCATCCAACAGATACAAGCCACCTGTACCGCATTCCCATTGGCCAAAAAAACAGTTAAAACCCGGGAACAATCGTGTTTTAGTGGCAGTAGGAACAGCTGACTGACGTGTGTCTACCGGGCCAAAAGACTCGTCAAACAACCCGCGTTAAAATTGCCTTGGCTCTGTTTTACATGCTGTGGGAACATCAGACCCGGTTTGATCCGCTAAATTACCCGACACCATTGAAGGCAATGTACAGACGTCAATACACAGCGCCAACTACGTCTGATCTAACAACCTGAAACAACTCTGCTTACATTCATTAAACATGGCGCAGAACTGGTGAGAGGGATTCGGAGGGATTAAAGAGCTTAACAATAAAATAAACCACGCCCTGGCTTCCTTCCGTGTAGCTGTCCATTGTTTACTTTCCTGATTTATGTCGAACTGATAACATCATCAACGCTAACCCAGCGTGATGTCACCAGATACCCAGCATTCTCGCGCACCTCGCTCTTCTAGCTGGTCCATCTTCACAAGTCATTTTCCACAATGGCGGTCAAACAAAACACGAAATACGCATAGTTTAGAGGGGATGTACATTTGACTAATCAGATGCCTCTTGTCTGTTGTTCTTCTACAATTTTGGAGAGTTGCACCAGAGTCTGCAGGCAAATTTGATTTCACTGCGACACAAGCAGACAACCTGGCTTCTGAGTATAAATCACCCTTTTGACCCATTTTTCTTAACTAATGGTAAGGGAGCCAAGTGCCAATAGCTAGCGGGTCGACCCATGTTTGAAAGTCGCAGGTTAACCCGCTAATTTCAGTGGGAAATCAATCGATGAATTCAGTCCATCAGTCTTTATTGTCAACTAGTCTCTAGTCTTTCAATGAGAAACAATATTCATAGGATGTTAGGTTTACCTCTGAGAGATATTAGACAATGTTTAATCAAAAAACACCTGGACATGACATAAAACATATTAATGCTGCATTTCAGATATAATCTAACTAGATGTGGTTATTATCAAAACCTTGAGCCATCAGAATAGGAAATTTCATTTTCTTACAGAAACATCCTATGAAATTTCCATGTGAAAACCCACGTGAAATCTATGCATTCCATGGGAATTCACATGTGTATCACATGTAGAAACACATGTATGTGTGGAATTTGAACGTTTCGTAGTAAGAGCAAGTGATACCTATGTTTTTCTCGTGACACATAAATTTCACCACATGATTTTCATGTTTTTCACAAGTGATACACGTTCTCACATATGATTTCCATGTTTTTCCACATTCCATACCCATGTTTTTCACATGACATTAGGGCTGAAATAGCTAATCAGATTAATCGATAATTGAAATAATCGTCAACTAATTTAGTAATAGATTAATCGTTAATTGGAGTTTAGAGACTATAAAACATGCCTTTAGCTAAAAGAGCGATCCACTTAGAGCAGTAATTATATCAAAATTATAAATAATAAAATTGAAACAGTTTGCATTTAAGATTAAAAAAAATTTAAATATTGGTCAATATGCTTTATCCAGAACTCTTTAAGTGGAAATATTTTAGTTTCACCTGGTATAATTTTATTTAAAAAAAAATCTTTAGAGTTCTTTTGTCTGATTATTAATCGATTAAACGAAAAAATAATTGACAGATTAATAAATTTTCAAAATAATTGTTAGTTGCAGCCCTACGTGACGAACATTTTACGTTATGCACATTTTCCACGTTATTTCCATGTTTTTTCACATTCGAT